CACCCAAGTCTGTCTCTTAATCATTGTCAAAGGCAATGACAGTTTCAGAACTGTTTCTGTAATTGCAAATTCATTGTTCCTGGGGATGCTAGTGTTCTCTCCTTGGAGGACATTTGTTCATTCAGCAAATCAGGAGGCTAAGGCAGGAGGATTGCAAGTTTGCGGCAAACCTCCACAACTGAGAGAGACCCTGACTCAAAATAAAAAATAAGAAGGACTGGAGGTGGGACTCGGTGGGTTCCATCCCCAGTACCAGAAAAAAAAAAAGAAAGGGGGAAAAAAGGAAGACATCTGAAGTGCTTCCCATGTGCCCAGCACAGCTCCACAGCTGGATAGGGATCAACTCATCAAATGCTCCTAACATTTCAGGTGACAAGACTGCCACAATCTCCCTTCCACGGATAAAAATCCAAGACCCAGAGAGACATAGTGATTTACCCAAAGCCACCCAGCTAGTGAGGGGCAGAGCAGAGTCCTGAATCATGAGAGCCTGAGTCCCAGAGTTTGTCTCTTAATCCTTGTCAAAGGCACCAACAGTTATAAAGATGTTTCTGTGACTGTGAGTAGTTCCTAAGGACACTATTTTTTTTTCCCTTGGGGATACTTGTTCATTCTGCAAATATTTACTTGTCATCTACTACATGCCAGATATTGTTCTTGGTGCAAACTTGATGGGGGACTTGACAGGGCTGCTTTGTCGGAGCAGAGTTGTGTTTCGGTAGAGGAGGCAGAAACCAGGAGATCGTGAATTGCTGCACGTGCCTTGAGATTTCTCAGGACACAGAATGAGGTCCCTTCCCCAAAGATGTGCTCATCCTGATCCACAGAACCTGTGAGGATGTGACTTCTTGAGGCAAAAGGAACCTTGACCATGTGGGGTGGGGGGTGGGGCAGCTGACCACAAAGGTCCTGATAAAGGGAGGCAGAGGTCAGTGAGACTTTGAACTTCTGACGTCCAGAAACTATGAGGGCTCAGAATGGAAGACATTTCTCCTCACAGGGGATAATGTGCCCCAGGATGGCTTCACAGCACTGAACAAGAGAGGGCGGCACCTGCCTTCTACCCCCAGGAGAACATTCGACCAGAGCCACAGGTGCATCCCCAAGTTTACCAGGGAAAACCAGGTGGCTGGTTCCCTAAGGGCTGCACTGGGCACCCAGAAGAAACGGCCAGGTCCTGGGGCAGATGACAATCCTAGACAGGTGGCCATGCCCACTGAGTCCAGATTCATGACATTCTGGTTCAGTTGCCCAAGGGCACAGGAGGGAGAAGGGGCTTATTCCTCTAGTTCTGCAATGACAGTGGACTTCCAGATGAGGTGGCTCTGGAGGCCAGGTCTGTGGCCTGCCCTCTTCCAGGTCATGCTCCCTGTCTTCTGAGCAAGGGCTGCCTCTCACCTGTAAATGAAGGTGAGAGCAGATAGCTCAGGTAAGGGGCAGTGGGCTGGGAACTTCCTGGGCCCCCAGACCTGTGTCCCTTTGGACACCTGTCTAACACTACAGCTGCTGTTTCTTGATATATAAGGAGGACAGAATATCAGAGAGCCCAGAAATAGGCTCTGACCCTCGTGCTGTTTGTCCATTTCTGTTCTTTCATCTTTCTGGCTTCCAGCCTCAGTCTTGTTGTGACGTTGGGTAAATTATTTCTCCTTGCCTCAGCTTCCTCATCTGTCAGAGTTCCTATGATCATCTATCTCACAGTGTCACAGGAGGAAGAAATGAGTTACAGGTTGAGCATCTAATTAGAAATCTGGCCTGGGGATGAGGCTCCGTGGGAGAGCTCGCCCGGCATGGGAGAAGCCCTGGGTCCCATGTCAGCACTGCAAGGGGAAAAAAACTGAAAGAGGGGGAAAAAAATCCGAAGCCCAAAATGCCCCCAAATCCATAACCTTTCAAGCACTGACATGATACCATACATGGAAAAGTCCACACCATGAAATTTAGTTTTGTATATGAAATTATTTAAAATAATTGTGTAAAATTACCTTCACGTTACTTATATAAGATGCATACGAAATTAAATGAATTTCATGTTGAGACTTGGGCCCCATCCCTGACTCATCTCATTGTGCAATTATTCCAAAATTTTTTTAAAAATGAAATATAAAACTTCTTGTCCTGAGCCTTGGGATAGGGGATACTCCACCTGTATTACGAGGCACTTAAAATAGAGCCTGACACAGCGAGCTCTCAGCTTGACTATAATTAATTTATCATATTTAAAATGTTAATTAGATAGTGTGCGCTATCATTATTGTTGGTTATCACCATTCTCTCTCCATCCGTCTCTGTTTGCCTCTGTGTGTCTCAGTGATTCTGCACCTCCCTTTAGCCACCCGTGCAACACATGTGCAATGAATGGTTTTGAGCTGGAGGGGCTCTGTCTCTCCAAGGGCTCCCAGCTTAGAGAGGGAAGCAGGTGTTAGAAGAATAAATATACAAGAAATAACATGTGCATCGACTGTGCCAAGGGCTCGGAGGAGGTGTGCAGGACTCGATGAGAAGGGAAAATAGAGAAAGAGAAGAAGTGGGAGAGGGAGGGAGGGAGGGAGGGAGGGACAGAGGAAGGAAGGAAGGAAGGAAGGAAGGGAGGATAAATAGAGGAATGAGGACCTGTATTAGTTTGGGAGGGACCAGGGAAAGCCTCTCTGAGGAAGGACACTGGACACAACCTGAGGGATGGGGGTCCTCTAGGGAGAGAGTGAGGGCAGAGTGTAGAAGACTGTGGAACAGACCACAGGGCAGCCCAGAGGAAGGAAGCAGGGCCACCGCAGGGGACCTGGAGTTCACTCAGGAGCCTCATCCACCCAGGAAACAGACTTGAGAGGGACAAGGTCAGAATGAGGAGCCCAGCGAATGGGGCTGGTCCCGCTGGGCAGGTCTGGCTGGCTGGAGTTTATTGGGGGCATACCCCTAAAGGGCTTACTGATAGACTGCAGCCACTGCAAGAAGAATCCAGGGGACCCCTGGGGTTTGGTGGCGCTCAGGAGGGAATGGGGTGCTGCCCCTTCAGAGAGGGAGGCTGGGAGTGGAGTTGACTCAAGCTGGGGGAAAATCCAAACTCTGTCTTTCAGTCTGTCTTTTTAAACCGACTTCTGAGGTGCTACATAACCTCTTTGCCCCTGGGCCTTCCTTTCCTTACTTCTCAATTTCTGTGTCTCTGTCTCCCTGTCAAAAGAAAGAAAGATTGGCAGGGCCAGAGAAAGACAGGGTCGGGGAAAGATCCAGAGAGACAGCGACAAGGGAGAGGGAGACAAGAGATGGGGGCAGACAGGGAGACAGACGCTTGGACACTCATGCCTGCGGGCACGCCCGCCGCCTCTGAGGTCTCCCCACTGCGGGGTGAGCTCATGCCACTCCACAGCTGTAAACACCGCTCTCTCCCCGGATGACTCCCGCGGTCCTCGCCGCCCTGACCTCCGCCTACCCCCTCCCTGATACGGGCAGCTCCCCCCAGGGGTGCCGGGCCCGGCCCCGCCCCGCGCCTCTGGCCCGGGTCGCCAAGCACTGAGCGCCCACAGCGCAACACCGGACAGAGCCTCGATGTCCCCTGCGCTCCTTCCCTGCTTCCGCTTTCCCCCATCCCTCAGCACGCTGGCCCCTCTGCAAAATGAAGGCGAGCCCTGGACCGCAGCACCCCCCACCCCGCCCCCGCCCGGCTGCTGCCTCCTCCCACCCCCACGAGCCCCTTACTCATTCCCCACGCAGGGTGTGTGTTTAAAGTAAATAAGAGCATGTCATTTCCTCCATCCTCGTGCTTAAAATCCATCACACTTTAAATAAAACCCAAAGTTCGTAACCCTAGCATTTAAAGCCCCGCACGATCTCGATCTCCCCGCTGGTCTGTCGCCCTCCTCCTGCCGCGCCCGGACTCTCCCTCGGGAGCCTCTTCTCCGCTCCATCGCGCCAAGCTCTTTTTGGCTGTGACCCAAGCCTGGCAGCTCCGGGCAAGACAGGTGCGATTGCTCTTTTCTGCGGGAAGGATTCGAGGCTTCATACAGCTGGGCTCACCAGGAGCCTGTCCCCTGCAGCCTCCCAGGGCACTTGGCATTCCCTGCAGTATTTGTTGGAATCCAGGCTGGGAGGGGTGGGATGGGAAGACTGAGGCTCAGAGAGGTGGGGTCCCTTGGCAGGTTCCAAAAGGAGTATTGATGCAGGCTGGCTTTGGGGTGGGGAAAGGGAAGGAGAGAGAGAGAGAGAGAGAGAGAGAGAGAGAGAGAGAGAGAGAGAGAGAAAGAAGAAGAAGAAGAAGAAGAAGAAGAAGAAGAAGAAGAAGAAGAAGAAGAAGAAGAAGAAGAAGAGAGGAGAGGGATAACTAAGAAAGAAAGAAGGGATGAGGGGAGTCTGGGCAAGATCTGGGTCCCTGCTGCCCCACCCCCTGCCTCGGGGTCTAAGGCTGCCAGAGAGATTTGAGCAGGAAGCACGCAGCACCTGACCCCTGGAATGTGTCCCCTGGGGGAGAGGCTGAGGAAGCTTATAAGCCCCATGGGGGATGTTGTGGGAGGAAGCAGGCAGGAGGCAGGCCAGCCACAGAATCCAGGAGTCCAGAGGTGGCCAGGTAAGCAGCCCCTGGTCCCCACCTGCAAGCCTAGTGGCCTTCATCCACCTTCATCCGCTGTTTTCGGCCTCAGGATGCCGTCTCTACATCTCCTGTCCAAAGAGGTCTCTCACTAGCTCTCTCTAGTTAGAATTGCTTCTCTGATTCTCAGATCAAATTCTTAACTTCCCTGTCTCTGTGGCTCTCTCTCTGCATCTTGCCTCTGTCCCTGAGGGTTCTCCCCACTCCTCTCCCTATTCATAGATGGTGGACACCTTCTCTGTACGTTCCTCTCCACTTTCTGTCTCTTTCTCCCTCTGTTTCTGAATATCTCTCTCTGCATTCTGAGTCCCAAACAGGGCAGGGGGCTGTAGATGTTCAGTAACATCCCAGGGGGCCCAGAAGGGAGGAGAGAGAGATGAGAAGCTCTGTTCTGAAGGTCCCCAGATTCCCCTCCTCATTCCCAGGTGCTGACATGATGGTCACAGCAGGAAGTCCTTGGGGCTGGTTCCTGGGGTACCTCCTCCTTGGGGTCACAGGTATCTGAGTGTGTGTGACTGCCTGAGGGCACACTGTGGGCTACAGTACAGGTGTGATTTAGTGTTCCTCTGCTGTGTGAAAGGACCATGTGGCCGTGTGCCCCTGTGATGGGACACATAGGTAATTCCTCACATCATGGTGACTGTGCATGTAACAGTGTGATTGGGTGTGTAGTGTGTTATTGGGTAAATGGCTTTGGTAGCTTGTGCCTCTGAATAGCCTGCAGAGTGACAACGTTGTATGGATGTCGTGGGCACAGGGGAGGCGGAGGGTGCCATTACATGGGAGATGGCGCATCCTCCAGAGGAGTCACCCATTGCTGAGGATCTGGGCCTGCTTCCTGAGTCTCCAATCCTCAGATTCACTGGCACTCACAGCAGAGACTATGATGGTGTTTCTGTGTGAAGTGACTGTGGCTGGGTGTGACCAGGCAAGGCTAGCGGAAGGCATGGCCAGGGCATTACAAAATGTGACCAACTCCCTGAGTAGCTGGCTGTGTGTGCCCAGCCTGGGTGAGGGTCCGCTGTGCTGGGAGACTCCTGTTACAGGGCTTGGTTTGCAGAAGAGGAATGTTATGTGGGTCCTGGAGATGGGTCAGTGACTCAAATCTGGAACCCTTCTGAAAAATGGGTTGTCCTTATGAGCTGATCTCATCTCCCAGACCTCCTCCCAAGGGACCTGACCCCACCCTGTGAGCCCTGACCCCACCCCTGAAGCTTGTCCATGGCTCCCCTCCCTAATCATGACTGCAAGGGTCCAGTCTCCGAAGCCTGCCTCCAGCCTAGACTGCGCGCAGGCCACACCCCAAAGAGTGATCCCTCCTTCTGCCGCTGACTCCTCCCCCAAGACCTCTGACACTGCCCCCAAACTCTGACCACACCCCTGCACTCAGACCCTACCCCGGGAGCCCTGATCCTGCCTTCTAAACCCGCCCCACAGCCACAGCCCCGCCCCTGAACCCCTGGCCCCACCCCGAGGCCCTGGCCACGCCCCTTCACTGGGACTCCTCTACCCCTGGAGCCTTGGGCTTTCCTCCTGGGCCGGCCCCCAGCCCTGACTCCGCCTCCAGGGTCCCTCGCCTGGAGTGGCGGCAGCCACATCATAAACGGCGAGGACTGCATCCCTCACTCGCAGCCCTGGCAGGCGGCACTGTTCAAGGAAGATGAGTTTTTCTGCTCGGGAGTCCTCGTGCATCCCCAGTGGGTGCTGTCAGCCGCGCACTGTTTACAGAAGTGAGTGCAGGATGGGGTAGGTGTGTCGCTGTCTCAGGGGAGGGGGCTCAAACAGACCCAGCATCTGTGGCGACAGCTGTGCTGGCTTGTGGACCCAAGCCTGGAACCGGGGAGTCCAGGGGGAGGGCAAGGCAGGCGCGCACAATGTTGCTTTGGGAAGATTCAGAGAGCCCTGGGACTGGGTCACCCGAGGCTTGGGGCAGGTTCTGATCCCTGGTTGTTGCGGATGAGGATTTGAGGTCACGGTTAGGTGACTCCTAGCACGGTGCTTGGCAGGGAGATGGGGTGGGTCCGAGAGTGGGGACGGCCTGGGTGGGAGGGTAGTCGTCACAGAACTCAACCTGCTCCCGTGGTCCTCAGCTCCTACACCGTGGGTCTGGGTCTGCACAGTCTTGAGGCCAACCAAGAACCAGGCAGCCGAATGATGGAGGTCCTCCTCTCCATCCAGCACCCCCAGTACAACAATCCCTTCTTCGCCAACGACCTCATGCTCATAAAGTTGAAGGAATCCGTGTCTGAGTCGGACACCATTCGGAAGATCAGCATCACTTCCCAATGCCCAACACCTGGGGATTCCTGCCTTGTCTCTGGCTGGGGTCTGCTGGAGAATGGTGAGCCTGTGCCACCTCTGCCCTCTGGGAGGGGTCCCTCTCCCCACCAGAGGGGCTGACCCAGAGCTCTGTGTCCCAGGCAGGCTGCCCACGCTGCTCCAGTGCACGAACGTCTCGGTGGTGTCCGAGAAGGTCTGCAGTGAGATCTACACCTCCCTGTACCACCACAGCATGTTCTGCGCAGGCGGAGGACAGGACCGGAGGGACTCCTGCAACGTGAGAGATGGGAGGCGGACGTCGCAGGGGGGGACAGAGAAGTGGTGACGGGAGGTGGGAGGTACGGTGAGGAGTAGAGACAGGGGGATGGGAACAAAGGGAAAGAGACTGGAAGAAACAGGAATAAGTACAAAGGAGAATACAAAGGCAAAGGAGGAGAGAAACAGAGCCGGAGGCGGAGGCACACGCAGAAGAGCCCAGTGAGAACCAGACAGACTCCAGGAGGGAGGCCCGTGAGAAACAGGAGAAATCCCAAGAACCAGAGAGATGCAGAGGCTCAGAGACGGGGAATAACCCACAGGGAAGACACAGGAGAGACAGATCAACCACAAGCCCGAGGGAAGCCACGGGGGCCACTCTGGGCACAGGGAGCAGGCAGGGGGTCAGGGACCTGCAAGGGACTTCCAGGGTGGGTTGCTGGTTGTTTTCTGTCTTTGTCTCTCAGTCTCATGTGGCTCCTCTCTGATCCCACATCTAGCCCCACCTTCAGTGTTTGGGATTCTGACTCTCTCCTTCTCTCCACAACAGGGTGACTCTGGGGGCCCCCTGGTCTGCAACAGGTCTCTGCAGGGCCTCGTGTCTTTGGGACAAGCCAAGTGTGGCCAGCCTGGCATGCCAAGTGTCTACACCAACCTCTGCAAGTTCACTGACTGGATACAGAAAACCATCCAGGCTATTTAGCCTTGGGGATTGGACCCACGGAACTGGCCTCCCTCACCCAGGAGCCCAGGACCTTAGTTACCATCTCCCTGTGGCCCAGAGGTCCAGAACCCAGCCCTCCTCCCTCAGCTCAGGAGTCCATTCAGAATCTTTTCCTGTCTGCAATGTCCTTATCAGCCCAGTGTTTCCTAGCCTCACGGGTATTAGGCTGGTTTCCACCCTTTGATCCCCTTCCCCGCACCCCCAGTCCTCCCCTGGAGTAAAGTGTGAGAGCAGCCGGGTTCTGTTTGAAGTGTCCTCCTTGCTTCTCTTCCCATTGAAGGATTCCAGCAAATAGCTTTTCCACCCTTAGTCTTGTTTCCCCGGCTGGCAAGCAGGAGCTTTGAACAGGAGGCCACAGGGTTCCAGGGGGAGCAGCTGCACCTGAGAGGTTAAGAGAAACCAATCCTGTGAATGTTGTCCAGAGCCTGGAAATCCAAGTCAGCAAACAGTGGATTTAAGTGATTTCTCGCTTCATTTAACTATTTGGTTTTGATTACCTTTTTCCAATTTTGTCTTCTTAGCTGCATGTTAAGTTTGCTGGGTGTGGTGGCACACACCTGTAATCCCATCAGCTAGGGAGATTGAGGCAGGAGGATCAGGAGTTCAAAGCCAGCCTCAGCAACAGCGAGGTGCTAAGCAACTCAGTGAGAACCTGTCTCTGAATAAAATACAAAATAGAGCTGGGGATGTGGGTCAGTGGTCGAGTGCCCCTGAGTTCAATCCCCAGTACAAAAAAAAAAAAAAAGTTGCATGATTTGTATCTACCTCAGGACCCTTGCTGGAGGCTGGTGGGAAGGCATGAGCGGAAAGATACCCAGGGACAGAAAGGGGGACCTGGGGACAGAGGGAGGACCCAGGGACAGAGGCAGAGACCTGGGGACAGAGAGGGGGACCCAGACACAGAGAGGGGGAAACCCAGGGACAGAGGCAGGGGAACCCAAGGACAGAGCGGGGGTGACCTAGGAACAGAGAGAGGGGAAGACTGAGGGACAGAGAGGGTGAGCCCAGGCCACTAGAATATGAGGAACTGCTATTAGACTCTTCATTGGTAAATTACGCTAGGAAGAATGTGCCTATAAAAATTTTATTCAAGATGTATTCATAAATTCATTGTACATCTGTCTCCATAAGGAGATATCCAAATTTTTATGGATCTTTTAAAATATCCTCAAACATAGAAAGGAGTGAGATCACTAAAATTAAATCAACAAATTCCAACTCATCAAAGGGGATTTTTAAAGTGACCCAAAGAAAATGATAGAACAAACAAGACAAAAAATGAATAAGGATAAAGATTACTTATCCTTCACCCAGGGGGGCATCTGCAGAACGTTGTTCCCGGGGTCTGGAGGACACAGACTCTTCAAAACACTACTCCAGGGATGGCTGAAACCAAAAGGAACAACAGCAGCGAGTCTCCGTCAGTGCAGGGCAGCTGGCACTTCCTTTCCTTGCTGGGGGCAGTGTAAGATGGTACCACCACTTTGGAAAGTAGTTTGGCAAATTCTTAGAAAAATGAACATACCTCTGTCCCACGAGCACCCTACAACTCCAACTGCAGGAAAGTCTGGAGCAAAGCTAATCAGTGTTGCCTGGTTGCTGGGATGGGAGGGGCAGTATGCCTCCAAACAGATCTGGAAGAAGCATGAGGAACCTTCTGGGTTGATTGACATTTTCTATAACTTTACAGGAGTGAAGGTTACATGGAGGCGTGCATTTGTACACTGGAAATTACACACACACACACACACACACACACACACACCTGAACAGTGGATCTGGAATCTGCACAGCACACAGGCACTAGGGAAGTCCCACCCACTTCCCAGCATGCACTGGTGGTGCTGCCATGGGGGGCTGTCTTGAGAAGGTCTCCTCTGAGCTGCTGCGCTGAGAGTCAAAGGTCCCTGAAGTTTTTCTGGAACACCACAGCAAATACCAGTATACCAGGCTGGTGGGTGCCTGGCTTGAGAGCTGTGTGGTTAAAAGATGGAGCATGTAAGCCAAAACCATAGAACACCACGCAGTGGGCAGTCTGTGACAGGAACAAAGGTCACTTTCCATTTAGGACCAAATTGGGAAGGCAGCTGGCAGAGGTCAGGGCATGGGAGGGTGGGATCTGTGTTTTGCCACTGAGGTGCACCCCCAGCCCAGCTGAGAGAAATGACACCTAATTCAGTGACAGTCTTTCCCACTCAAACCTTGGCAGAGCTTTCAACTTAAAAAACTGGGGAGATTAAAGCCCCCCAGCTGATCACCTAGCCCCACACAGGTACAGCTGGGGGGCGGGGAGGCTGAACTCCCACACCTGGTCACTCACCCAATAGCAACAACAGAGAGAAATGACAGCTGTGGGACACCACACCCCCAAGCCAGCCCAGCACAGGCTGCTCGGGTTCTCTTGCAGACAGCACATCGCTGAGGAGCGTGGAAGAGAAACCACAGGGTGGACCTCACACCCCCTGCTGTCCACAACACACCTCCTGCTGTCCACAACACACTTGCCTGGGCTTGCAGAGGGTCCCCACACCTGCAAGATCTACAGAGAAAGTGAGCCACTCAGGTCAGACACAGCACAAGGCCTCAGGGACACAGCAAGATGCTCGGCAGCTTAGTGAAACTCTGTCTCAAAACAAAATAAAATTCTAAAAAGGCCTGGGATGTGACTCAATGGTAAAGTGCCCCAGGTTCAATCTCTGGTATATAAAAAAATTCATATGGATGCACAGAAGTCCTAGAATAGTCAAAGCAATCCTGAGCAAAAAGAACAATGCTAGAGCCATCACTTAACCAGATTTCAAGACATATTAGAGTCACAGTAACAGGTAGAGGGACACGTAAAGATTTCCTGAATAGGAAGGACTCTAGTAGCTCAGGAAATAAAATGAAGTATTGATAAGTGGGATTATATCAAATTAAAAAGCTTCTGTACAACAAAAGAAGCAATCCACCGAGTGAAGACAATGGGAGAAAATATTTGCAAGCCATACATCTGACAGAGTCTAATCATAAAAGGGCTAAAAATCTGAACAGGTACTTCTCAAAAGAAGTACAAATGGCCAACAGATATATGAAAAAAAGGTTCGACATCTTTAGCCATCAGGGAAATGCAAATCAAAACGACACTGAGATTCTAAACCCCAGTCAGAGCAGCTCTTATCAGAAGAACCAGGGGCTGGGATTGTGGCTCAGGGGCAGAGCACTCGCCTAGCATGCTCGAGGACCTGGGTTCAATCCTCAGCACCACATAAAAATAAATGAATGGAATAAAGGTATTCTGTCCAACTACAACTAAAAAAAATAAAAATAAATATTAAAAAAAAGAAGAAGAACCAAACATAACAGATGCTGGTGAGAACTGGAGAAAAGGAACACTTAGCCACGGTTGGTGGGGATGTAAATTAGTACAGCAAAGATGGGGAAATCAGAGTGGAGGCTCCCCCCACCAAAAAAAAAAAAAATAGAACTCCCACGTCATGCAGCCCTGTAAGTCCTGTGTATATATACCAGAGGAAGTGAAGCCAGCAGACACGAGGGGCCCGCATCCCCTTGTTTATTGCTGCACTCTCCAAAGTCGCCAAGATGTGGACTCAGTCTAGGTGCCCCTGCAGCAGATGGATGGATGAAGGAAAGACACACGGTACAGTATTACTCAGCCACAGAGGAGAATGAAATCATGTTGTTTGCAAGAAGATGGATAGAACTGGAGATCGTCGTGTTAACAATGAAATAAGCCAGACACAGAAAGACGAGCATCACGTTTCCTCTCACCTGTGGGCACCAACAAGAGAACATGACCCGAAAGTAGAAGAAAAACTAATCAGGGAAGGGAAGTGGGTGGAGGGAAGAGAGGAGAGGGCAAGAGGGGCGTTAGGTGGGGTGACACACGCATGTATGGAAAGGTCACAGAGAAACCCACGAATCTGTACGATTAATTTGAGTTCATAATTATAATTTAGAAAGAAGAAAAATGAACCCGATACTGAGACTTGAAGCAAGTCTCCACAAAATTCAAAGTCATAGTATACTCAGTGTGTTGTCTGACTACAAAGTAATTAAGCTTGAGTGACTCCTCATGGGTACAAGGCTTCCTTTGGAGTGATGAAAATATTCTGAAATTCATAGTGACAATGGTGGCATAATGTCATGAATATACCAAATTTTGTTAGTGACAAATTTTATATTATGGACATTTTTACCACAATAAGAAATAATAAGGGTATAGAATATTTGAATAATATTAACATAATCATATACTTTGAATATATAGACACCTACAACCAAACAATATGGAATACTCATTTTTAAAAAAATTTTTATAGTTGTAGATGGACAGAATGCTTTTATTTTATTTATTTATATGCAGTGCTGACGACGGAACCCAGTGCCTCACACATGCTAGGCAAGCACTCTACCACTGAGCTACAGCCCCAGCCCCAGAATAGTCTTTATCATAAAATTCCCCTTCCCTTCAATGGGACATTAACAGAATGTACCTCATGGGGGTAGGCTTAGGTGACCCTAAAGTGCCCACGGCCTTTGAGGCCTGTCGACGGTATACCTGTGTATACCCCAGGAGCCGAGTTCAGCCTCTGGCTCCCTGTTGGGGTTTACCAGATGTCCACTGGGCCATAAAGTCTGGGGTCTGGATTTTGGTTGGGGACTGGAGCCCAGAGCTGAGGCTTGGGTGTCGGGAGCTAGAACATGAGGTTCGGAATCGGGGTATCAAGTCTGAAGTCAGAGCCATGCAACCCTGAGCCTGGAGGCCAGAACTTGACGTGTGGGGTCTGGGTCTTGTAAACTGATACCTGGCAAAGACATGCTTCGAGAGACACTGCTGGCAGGTAAAAGATGGGGAAGGAACCCCAAGTTCAAACTCAAGCAGGAGACAGAGGACAGCCAGAGAGGGCAGCAGCCATCCGGAGGCTGTGTTACAGGGAAAAGGAGATCCTGGGGCAGCTGGAAGGCAGCGGCAGCCGGAGCTTAGGCTGAGGTGCTTCGCAGACCTCTGGGTGAGGGTCTTCCCCAGTCCTGGGGTGGGCTCCCAGCACTCCCACCGAGGCAGACAATCAGCAGACGTCAGAGAAGGAAAGCCACCGCGCCTGGAGGTGAGCAGAACATTCAACAAAGGTGGGCTTCAAAGATGGTGGAGAGTGGAGCTGCTGTGTTCAGAACAGAGGACACCGAGTGTGGGAAGTGTGTCCCCAAAGAGGAGAGACAAAGGACTGTCTACCAAATGCAGGCCGCTGTTTTTGTGCACATCATGATTCACATAACCCAAGTACTGGAGGGGGCGGGGAGGTTTGAACAAATTTGACATCTAATTAACAAGATGTTTTCAGCAAATCTTAAACAAAGAACAAATATAACTTATAGAAATTAAACACATACTTGTAAAACTTTTTAAATCTATCAAAACACATTTGTCAAAGCTGAAGAGAATATTGAAGATGATAGAATAACTTCTTCAGAGTGCAGAGAGAGGAAGAAGATGGGTAATATAAAAGAGGTGTTAACATATTTGGAAAGCAGAGGGAAGGGAGGAAAACAACTCTTAAAGTGACGATAAAACTCCTGGACCTCGCAGCTCTAGGGAGCCTAGTGTATTCTGAGCAAGAAAACAATAAAGATCCTTGTCCGGACACGCAGTAAACCACAGAGGACTCCAACAAGAAGACGCTGCTGCGAGAGAAAGGACCCGTCACTCCCCAAAAAGCCCCAACTAGGAAGACAGCTGACTTCTCAGCAGCAACCAGGGAGGCCACAGGGAGGTGGCCAGGGCACAGCTGTGAGGATGTGATAAACGTCATCTGAATTTCTCCTCAATTTAAGAAAGAAAGAAAAAAAAAAACAGTGGTGTTCACAGTGAAGCAAGGTGATTGCTGGGCGTGACTCCTGGCTTGTACCTGTGAACGCTTTTCCAAGACAGACCTTGTGAGGAAACAGGGTGAAGGAAAGTTCCAAACCACACGTGCTGCACACAGCTGACACTTCTCTGAGTTCTGCAAACAGAACCTTCCAAGAAAATTTTGGCCTCCAGAAGGAAAGTCAGACATTAACAGGAGAAAAACAGCTTTTTGTGTGGTTAAGTTCCTGCTTGCTGGCACGCAGGGTGCTGGCTGATCATGTGGAAGGAAGAGGAGTCCATCTGCTCGGGACTCGGCTCACCCATGGTTTCCACGACTCCATGAGTTAAGTTTTCCTTTCTTTCACTGAACCAGAAAAACTGGAAAACAATAGCTTGCATGTGTAGGGAGAGCTGATCAAAATTAATGTGATCTTGGGTGCTTGGTTGTTTGGAAGCAGGTGGGCACTAAAAAATGCACTCATTTTAGACTAAGATGAATATGGATGATAAGAAAAATCAAGGGTAACCACTGAAGAATGGATAGGGTTTAAATTCCAAAGAAACAGAATGGGGGAAATGATGTAAGAAAACACACAACACACACACACACACACACACACTCAATGAACTAGAGGATAAGAAGTGTGGAAAATTCTGTTATTTGAGACCATCATGTCAAGGGAAATAAGTCAGATACAGAAAGACAAGTAGCACGTGAGCTCACTCAGATGGAACCTAACAAGTGGATCTTACTGAGGTTGGGAGAAGAATAATGCTCACCAAAGCCTGGGAAGACAGTGCGGGGTGGGGGGGGGCGGGGGGAGGTTGGTCAAAGCTTGATAAGATAGG